TTTACACAATGAAAATTGCGGCCAAAAACGATCGCACCCAGATACGCCTATTCCTTTTCTTTCTTTTTTGTTTTTGATTAATAATAAAAAAAAGCGCTACAAGCCGACGCAGCAAGAACAATGTCGTCCATAGCAGGCGAATACTGAAATGCTCGTGTAGGACAGTATTGCCTAGTTGATGAAGTTGCGCCATATCGCTCAATATTGTATTGCGCAGTATTGATGCTTGTTGCCGTTGCCGTAAATTGCTTGATGTAGTCGTGACGTCATAGTTGACGAGTATTGACTGGAATTGAGCAATTTTAGTTGCCCGTGTAAGCGCACCTTTAAGCTTTTTCAGCCGCACCAGCTTTAAAATTATATTATACATACTTATTTTTATACTGATTTTAAGTATGTGTCTCTTGTTTATATCAGTGATTTACGAGTTTTATGTTATATTAATTCTGATATTACTTAAAGAATGTCATATTCAGTAAGTTGGAAATATTTTATAAATACCAACGCGATGCGTCGTCGTAAATACTCGTAATATAACCTTAACATTATCCCTATACGTTCAACTAGATGCATCGAGCCGTGTTTACTTCAGATACATTTAAATAGGACTTTATTCTTCTGGCCTTTATAAAGTATGCGATCATACGTTTAACTAAAGAACTCTCGTCTCGGTCTTTCGGTATTTACGGCTTATTTTCTTTATTTTATATTCGGTTATAAAAGTCAGATCAAATTTAGCTCGAGATTTATTTTTAACGGATTAAAAAGAACCCGAAGGTGTGTTTTAAAAACAGATAACATGATTAGGTCACAATATATAGCTAATAGCAGAAGTTAATCTCATATTTACATCGCGATTTTATGTCTAGATTATGCTTCAGTCTTCTTTTGCACCGAATTTGAATATTTTAAAATTACAGAAAAAATAAACGTTGGATTTCGGATTTCGCACCAAAATTAAATGCATTAATTAGCGTTATCTGTATAATCTAATACTACTGGCTAGTTTCCGTTTTGTTTTTCTTAAATTAACGCTTTATATCAAAAATACTAGTAATGGTTACAAATTGCTGTAATTTTTAAGAGGTACTCTTAGTGTATGCATATTAATGCTTCTAATTTTACATTAACTATCAGTTCGCAAGTCAAGGGCGTAGTGCGGGCAAGAAGAACTGGCAAGAAACTCTCCGCCACTCTTTTTAATCGCCAGGTTTTGAGTCATACAAATTGTAAGGCAGAGCAGCCATAAATATTGGAACTATAGTCGAATTTTTAATTAGACGATATCAACTGACGTTTACGGTGTTGTCAGTTTTTAATGAAATAAAAATAGTGTTGTGACAAAGTAAAAACCCCTGAATTAATGATCGGTGATGGCACTAGTCGCCGCGCCGCGCTTTGTAATAAGACGTCAAAAAACTGATTTTAGTTACATAGTACTAGTACCTAACTTATATCAGAGCACTTTTATACAATTTTGAAATAGAAATAATATTCTTTTATTGTTTGAAATGATTGACTATTCACACTCATTGTTCATTCATCTGATTGAACAAGAACTGAACGCATCACTATTACTTTAAATATGGCAACATTATTTTACAAAGTGACATTAGCTACTGTCAGTTGGCTTCGTCTAATTAAAAATACGACTATAGATCAAATCAATACCAAGCATTGGGATCATTAAAATAATCGTCAAATTTATAAAAAGCGTTACTGATTAATTTACGTGTACCGAGAGTTTTGAATGTATTGAGCGATAATTCTTTAATTTCGCTTGGTAATTTGTTGTAAAAACTTATACAATTTTCATATAAGGAGTGGTTTATCTTCTGGAGCCTGGTTTGTCGTTCTCCATACAATGTGAGTAGTCACATGAATACTATTAGATATGTTCACTGTGTTCGCTTACATTAAATATTTAAATTAACGTAATGTTACTGATTTATTTAAAGTAACCTAAATCCCATAATAGAATTTTTTTGTTGCTAGTTAAAATCGCATATTAGGAATTTGTTTAAACGATATGATTTTTATATTTCGTGATAAACACGACACTATGTAGATATGTAACATTACAATTATATAATCAGGATACTATAGTAACATAATATATAAACCGCATATTTAAAACTGTTACTGGTAAGCGTTAGATTAAGTAGACTAATCAAAATTCAAAAACATAAAATTTATTCGTGTCTTTGAAATCTATAATTTTATTGTAATAACATGATACACTTGTTAATTGTGCAATTAACATGTTAAAGAGAGTTGTTTACTGATTTTTTATCATCGTGATCCGGTCTTGACCTGTATGAGATAACGCTATGACATCACCTGCATAGCTATTTTCATTCAATTAGCTTTAATTTAGCCAAATTTTCCATGAGAAGTGCGGGGGAATTTTTATTGGAAAATACCTTACAGTTTGAGAAATTAATCAGGCCAAAATCTTTTATAACGACAACGAAGGCACTACTCATATTTGGTCTTAAAAACCGATAGTCGTAACAGCCGATGTTATTAAGTACCTAATACAATAGAATTCAGCCTTCGATTTTTTTCAATATAACCGGTGTGTTGTTTTGACATAGCCTTTAAAAGCTTATACATGATTACTATAATAATGTCTTAACGCAAATTGAATAATAACTATAATTTAAATCTCGCTGAACCTACTATACATTGATCAAAAGCTATTACACATATCAACTATTAAACATAGTACAGCTATATATAGTTATCCAAGAAACATTACACGCAATAAATACATCAATGTCTCCGTAAGTAAAAGAAAAAGTCAATCGTCAGCCATATAAGAGATAAACAACAAAATGGTAACTTAAATAAGCATGACCGACTCACCGCATGAATGACATCACTCTTATTACGCATAGAATGATTGTGAGAGTTTAATGCGTCTCTAAGGTCACTTTACTAATACAATTATAAAGCTTTAAAGACCTCATGGTCGTGTCCCGGGTTGGGCGAAAATAAATTGCGAATTATCTAAGAAAAAATTTAATTGTAGACGTGAGGAAACTCTCAGTGCCGCACACTTGTGCCCTGTAATATCTCCTGTATACATGGCCACTCTCAATAAAGACCGCCAAGAGATCCTGGAGAGCATTATTACTAATGATAGGAGTACGGGTTAAACTTATATTACCAGGTCGTAGATTTTAGATGTTTTTTAGAAGCGCGCGGAAGGTCACCTACGCGTTGGACTGACCAAATCAAGTCTGCCGTAGGAGACTCACTCAATCAGTGCAGCAGGATGACCTCTAATAGGCAACGATGGCGAAACGTCGTGAAGCGCATCACATCTGCCCCTTCTATTACTACTACTTCATAGTGATCACGACCGCTCTGTCAAGAGTGCACCGGATAGGAAGAAGATTTTAGATTTTACACTGTAAAACAATATTTTTATTCACTGTAAGAGGTACATATGGTGCACGACAAATTAGAACGGGCAGTTTCAGGGTTGAGAAACGCACGCACTAGAGCCTTAGAGCCTAGACATTGCTCAAGGGATAACTTTCATAAAATTAAACCTTAAGTAAAAGTTACTATCACGTAGGTACGTATTACGCCTTTTTGTTGTGACAAAATTCATCTATCGCTTGTCCCCACTTGGGAGTCTCTGTGTTGTGTCAGTGGTACATGTTTAAAACAGTTTTTTGTGTAAAGAAGGTTTAGTGTTACAACTAATCAAACACAAGTCTTATAAGAAATTTAAGTATTTGTGAATGGGTGTGTGTGCGCATGTATTTGAGAGTGTAGCTAAGAGTTTTTAGTAGCGTGCACTGTGTCTGTGTTAGTTTTTGGCACCTCAGAGTCACGCAAAAAACGTAGTAAGATTTTAGATTCGAAATCCACTTCAGCTAGCGTAGTTTTATGTGATTTGTGAGTTTGTACCTGAATAGTTTGAGTATTTCAGAATCCATAGATTGGATTTTTGGATTGTTGGATTTAAATTTAATGCCTAAAATGTAAAATATTGCACGTTAATAGTTCATATGGTTAAAAGTTTTTTAACTTTTTCCTTACATAAAAAAGTTAATAGAATTGATGTATGACATCATTGCTAATTGTTCCGATGTCACGACGCGAGCGCTATTTCTGTAAGCGGATAGTAAACCTGTCCGGAAAAATTTACATTTTATGTAAAGTAGGTTCTTCATTTTTATTGGAGATAGCCTCGCTAATACACATACAGTCAGAAGAAATAAAATATCCTATAATCATTTAAATATTTGTGGCCTTATAGCAACGAAATTCAGCATAGTCTTTAAAATCCAGAACGTAACCATGGCAACTAAACTATAAGTTTTTCACCAGCCTTGTCACTTACGGCTTACATTACTGTGTCTTTTTCAGTTCGTAATATATCTACATGCGTGACTTTTCATGTTTTCTTTCCATGCCCTTGGCTTTCGTAAGACTTTCTTGCTAAACGGATTATGAAAACTAGTGCGTAACGAAATGTGTTAGAAGGCTACAGTGTCAATAAAGTATCAAGTTACGGTCAATCAAATTCAATAAAACAATACCTTTATCATCTTCTGACTATATATAAGCTAATGTTTCTAGTTATTACATTTTTTTAAAGAAAAATCGTCTGTTCCTTTTCAGAATATACTTTTATGTAATTCTTGTTCTCTGGCATGCAAAAACCAAACACGCGCCATCAAGGCTTAAACAATTCACTATTTGTCAACAAAACGTTTTTGCGAAATGTCTTGACTTGAATATATGATAAGGTGGATACAGAATAAATTTGCAGCAAACATCTAAAACAGGTTGAGTTACTTTACGCTTAATTATTCGAGATAAGCATTATTGTAAATTTAAATTATCAGGATTTTGAGTTTATTTTCCTTGAATTATACTACTTTTATATGTAAATCTCTAATCTTTCGATTTCCATCCACTAACAAGCTGCATTTTATTAACTGGTAACATTGATTTAAATTTTCAAGACACACAGTGGTTTAGGTGAAATACAGCGGCATATGCATACAATAAAACATTCCATTAATACATACTAATCTTGACAATAAAATCAAAATACCTCGTATTTCTGCGATGTGAGAGTCATATTCAGATCTGCTTCGCATATACTCCTTGGGCGCACTGTGCAGCGCGTGATGCTTGTACTCGGAGTACCATTCACCCTGTGGTGACTCCGGTCTCTCCTCACTCCTTTCCACCACTGTCCTCTTCACGACACGTTCAAACTTAACAAAACGAGCACCAGAAGTAAGATCGCCCTCTTCGACCTTCTCCTTGCTCGTTTCAGCTTCTACATGACGTAGTTTTAAATTGGGAAATGAAGTTTCAAAAGTCTTTACCGGCGACAAAGTGTCACGGGTATGTTTCAACTTCACTTCGATTTTGGGCGACTCAGGTCGCCGCTTGCGTTGCTCGATGCGTTTTTCTATGTCATCAACGTCTGTGGTGGCATCCACAGAGTCGCTGCTGCTGCGCCCGCTCCACACTCTTTCGAAAAAAGAAACGCGGTTGCGGAGGCCGCTTTGCGACGGGCTCTCGCGTCCGTCCGACATTGCGACATGACCTCCCCTCTCGGAGGTTCGCTCGATACTAACCGGCAAGTTAAGTTAAGCTAAGTGCATGCGCGAGGCTAGACGCCGACTAGACGGTTTTCATGAGCTTTCCAAGTTTACCCGGTCACTGAAAAACCTTCCTTTCTTTCATGCCTTTTGTGTTACAGCTGTTATGAGAATTTCGGTTTAATATCCAAGCCGTTACTATAAATTCCAATATAAATGCATCGAATTTCCTTATTATATGTAATCTGTATTCGTGATTTAGTTCAGGCTATTGTATAGTTGATTGCCCTTGAACCTCAATTATTATCTATGTGTGCCAGCGTTTCGAATCATGACATTCACATTCTTATTTGGTAAACATTTTTACTTTAGATCAGCTCTAGGTATATCCAAAGTAGCTATACTACGGGTCGTGTATATTTCTATGGGAAATATGGGTTCAATTGTGAAAGCTAATACAGACTTATTTTCACATATTTAAGCATATGTAAATATACTACATTATTTGTCTTTTACTACTATATATGTAAAAGACAAATATGAGTTTGTTTAAAATTCCATTCTATATATCTATATCTGATAAATGCTCTTCCCAATTTTTTTCTAATCATGAAAAGGGGACATTCCTTTTTGTGATTAATTGATAATTTCGCTAGTATCGTCCGTTATCAATTGATAAGGATTCGTGTTGCTTATGTAATACTTACATTACAGTAAATTTGCGATGCATTTTTATCTAATGAATAAGATTTTTTCTAAAATGAATTTAAGTAATTCAAAAAACACTTGCTTGTGGCTGGGTGATACAGGGTGATGTATCTATTATTAATTTTTTACATAGGTGAGTCTTATGTTCCTTCCGTCTATATTTACACTAAGTAATATGTATAAATTGTACGTAACACAAGGTCAATTGAATCAAATTGTATCCGACAGATACATCAAATACACCAGCTTCTGTCAACATGTTCAGATACATGTTCTTCAAATCTCTTAACTTAATTTATTTATTTCGTAATATTATAGCTAACATAAATTATATATAACAAAAATAATCATACTATTGCCAAAGGTCTAATATATACAAAACATTTACGAAAGGAAAAATACAATTACAATTATTAAATTCCAACTTAGTCACACCTAATTCGGCGGTGTTGTGTGATGGTATTTCATGGTATATATACGTGAGTGTGTGTGTGTGGGGTGTGCTCATGAGCATTAGCTCTAAATAACTTGCATCTTCTTAATACATCTTTTAAGCATATTTCGCGATAGTTTAAACAAGTCGAGGCTTAAATATTGGTCGTTGTATGTCCGGGCTGCGCGATACAAAACTGAGATTTTTGCATAGATGGTGTTGATAAGCACTCAAGATGTTGAGTTACGTAAATAATAAATTCAATTCTATTTTATAACCTTTAAAGAAATTGTATTTAAATATGCAGTACTCGCTAAAGATACGTATGGTTTCATAAAATAAATTAAATTAATAATTGTATTAATTTAATGATGCCAGTATTCCTTCCCATATCAAAATCCCGTATTTCCTTGTAGGTATTAGACTTAATGATTAACACAAATATTTAAGAATCACTTATTGTTTAATATTGTAAATAATGTATAATTAAAAAAAGTTATGTTAAAATTATTTATTTATTTCTATTTTATGTAAAAATAGATATGCGGAGTACAATATCTTTGACAAATTTAAATAAACTTCTTTAACTTGGCTCTCAAAAATGTTAATTATAAATGATTTTTCGATTATTATTTTTTTTATTTTTTATAAAGACAATTAACACCAATTGACCTAGTCCCATGCTAAGCTGGTGAAGCTTGTGTTATGGGTACTAGGCAACGGATATACATACATATTATAGATATAGACATATAAATACATATTTAAACACCCAAGACCTAAGCACAACACCAAATGCTCATCACATCTATGTTCGTCTCAGCCGGGGATCGAACCCGGGACCCATGGATTCGCAGTCAGGGGTACTAACCACTAGACTAGTGAGTCGTCAAACCATCGATTTAACCATTAATCTTGCTACAGTCGCATTTTAAAATTCTTTCAGTTTCACAAAAATACAAACTCAACTAGATTACTTAAAGTCCTACTCAGAGTCAGGCATTCACAGTTAACTGTTACTTAAGCCATTTAAAGAGTAAATTAATTTGAAAAATCTAAAAAAGCTAAAAAGGTCTAACAGTGCTCTAGGCGACCTGTAATTATAATAATCGGGCAATTCATTTTTTTAAATTTATTATATTATATTAACTTTGGTTATTTATTTATTTGTAGGTCGTAGGTAGAATCTTATCTATTATTAATTATTGAGGTTCAGTTATAGTTTCATTATAAATGATAAATTATAATATTTTCGCGCTAAATGTATTGTTATTTTTAGATATTTTTGTAAAATTTATTCACAATCAAAACAACATGGTTTGTTTTTTTGAGATTTTGTTTTGAACGCTTATACCAGGAACTATTACTTCGTATTCAAATAATCTTGTTGGATATACCGTTTAAAAGGCTTTATTATAAACCTAAAAAACCTACTAAGGCCGAATTCGGGCAAACCAAGACACAGCTAGTGAGATACCTAATTATTAATTATACACCCGTTTCAATAAATCAAGCTAATAAGATTTGATTCCAATAACCTACTTCGTTCTATGTTCTATTCATTATTGTACTGTCAATCCGATCGGACATTGTGAAAGTCAGACATTTATCATTTATCATTTAGGTGCGCCGGGATTTCTCTTGCGTTAAAACTACGAAATATTATTTCATAAAAATTATGAACACCGCGATTTCCAAATAGGCAACATGAAATAGCTTATGTTTAATAAAAAAAAATACTTTATATTTTATAATATTTATTGGTAATCATAACAATGAAATATACAGTATTACATAGTAATAATAAAAATAATTACAAATTAATAAAAAGAAAATTAAAACTAATATCATATATAGATTATATTAGATTGAATCCAAAATATAAGAGATTAGCACATGGCAGAGAGTGACGAGATGTGGAGGAGGCCTTGGAAGAGCACATATTAGGTTGGGGAAAAAGTCTTTTCGCATTATAGTATCTATGAACTTGTTATAAAATCTCTTTGGCTATACTATATGTATCTGGCTGGTTTTGTTATCATTGAAAGTTGAGATTTTAAAGAAGATTATTCCAAATACAAATTAGGATAATGTGTGACTTTTATTTATTTTTCGCATAGATTTATATCGTTAGATTGGCCCTTACCGCAGTGAGACCGCGCCGTGATGTTCCACAGTCGAAGTGAGTGAGCTCACTAACCTGGGATCAGTGCACCCCTAAACACAGTGTTAGCCGGACGTGTTGTAAAGGACGTTTGCGAGCAGTTTAGTGTCACAAAATGCCATCGTGTGCCTTTCTAAAGTGCAACAACAATTCTAGAAACACAAATAAAGCCAGAGGTGTAACATTTCACTCGTAAGTATTGCGATTTGATTTAAAAACTTTTATGTTTCCTTCCGCACTGTCTAAAATAACAAATTTAAATGGCGAGTGCACGAAAGAGAAAGTAGTGTTTGCAACTAATGTAGGAGAAAAAGAGATGACACTATTTTCTCAGTATTACAACAGATAAGTACAATGGCAGAAACACGATTTTTTAACTACTCGTTAGTGTGCGTGTGTCGGCATTTTGTTAACGCACACATTCAAAAACAATGCCACAGTTTTTGGTGTCGGGGCCTATCTAACGATACAAATCTATGATTTTTCGTACCGTCAAGATTTTAATGAAGAAATTCGATACATTTTAAAATTTTACTATAAAAAAAGTAAAAATGCAACGTAAGCCGCGAAAAAAATTTGCGATATTTATGGACCTAGTGCAGTATCTGTGAGAGTAGCACAAATTTGGTTTAAGCATTTTCAATCTGGAAATTTTAATGTCAAAGATGCAAGTCGCTCTGGTCGCCCTATTACGGATAAAATGGATACCATTTTTTAAAAAGTGGAGCAAGATTGGCATATCAGTAGTTACGACGTAGCTGAAGAACTGAGAATTGACCACAAAACAGTTTTGGCGCATTTGAATAAAACTGGGTACACAAAAAAGGCTCGATATTTGTGTACCTCACGAACTCACTGAAATAAACCTAATGAACCGTGTACTCATTTTTGATTCTTTATTACGACGTAATGAAACCGAACCATTTTTGACAAAGCTGATAACTGATGATGAAAAGTGGATCACGTACGACAAGATCGTGCGAAAAAGGTCGTAGTCAAAGGCCGGTCAGGCTTCACAGACTGTGGCGAAACCCGGGTTAACTCGCAACAAGGTAATGCTGTGTGTGTGGTAGGATTGGAAGGGCATTATTCATTATGAGCTGTTACCACCAGGTAGGACCATCGATTCTGAACTCTACTGCGAACAACTGATGAGATTAAAGCAAGAAGTTGAGGAAAAGCTGCCGAAATTAATCAACAGAAGGGGTGTGGTTTTTCATCATGATAACGCTAGACCTCACACATCTTTAGCCACTCAGCAAAAATTAAGAGAGCTTGGCTGGGAGGTGTTAATGCATCCGGCGTATAGTCCTGACCTTGCACCTCCAGATTTTCACCTGTTTTCGTCTCTTCAGAATTCTTAAGGCTGTGTTAGGTTAACATCACGAGAGGACTGCCAAAACCAATTGTCGCGGTATTTTGATCAGAAGCCCCAAAATGTCAATAGCAATGGGATCTTGTCTCTTCCTATAAGATGGCAAAAAGTTATCGAACAAAATGGTACCAACATACTTTAGTTAAATGTAAATAAACTATATTAAAAAATGTTGTGAATTTTCTTAAAAAATGCGAAGAAACTTTTTCCCCAACCTATTATTTTATATAGAACAGGGGGCAAATCGACAGGAGGCTCATCTGATATATTAAGTGATAAGCCTATGGACACCCTCAATACCAGACGGCTCGTGA